CAAGATAAGCAAACACATGCACAACACAATGCCTGCCAGATGGCAGATACCTGTGAATGTTCGCTGGTGCTTTTATGTACAAATGTAGGGCTTCCATGCCCTTTCATTAAGTCGATCATGACTGCTCACTGAGCACAACGTAAGATCTGCCTTCAGGAGTGGCTTACAGTTTTTGCTCTGTTGGTGGGGAAAGGGAGGAATTAATGCACAAAGAAAAGAAATGCCATCTAAGGCGCGGCACCTGAAGAGTCAACATGAAGGCTGACTCTGACATGTAGTCATATATAATTCTGTTGAGGCAAATCTGAATAATTTCTGTTTTGGGGTAAATAGATCACCAAGTCATTTAGGAGACCCACATGCTTACCCACAGATCAGCATCCAAGTCATATTTAGATTTTGTTGTATTTTATTTATCACCATCAGTAGATAAAAGATTTGTTCCTTGTCAAGTGGCCTCCAAACAGTCAACTGCTAATGTACAAAGATATTTGTAAATCTGGGGAAATGGAAAAGGTCTCAGAAAATACTCTAGCAAATGTCAAAGGTCTACTGTACAGTCACATTTTTTAACATAAGGGAAAGGTCTTATTGTATTTCATAAATAGTTTCCAGCAATAAAAGGCCACATGGAAAGGTCAGAGTGCACGATTTACAATGCACCCAATGTTTCAATGGTTTGTCTGTCTGCCTTTCTCCCCTGCCCCCTACGACGTTCTGGCTATTAAGCACGGTAACTGAAATGCAATCCTGGGAGAGGTTCACCGAGTGAAATAAACGGTGTGAGCCACACGGAATGGCAGCCTCTGCTGGCCATCTTTAGTCCCCTACTACACAAAGCCCCTAGAAGCCACTACGAAGGCTCGTCTGTCAGCAGGCAGCTGTGAACTGAGCAAACAGTCCAAGAAGTTCAAATGGTCTGACAAAGGTGTTAAGAGACTGAGCAGTCTATAGTTGGTATATTCCTTTTGCTTTCAACTTCCTCTGAGCAAATGAGAACTACTGTGGACAAAAATGAAAGAGCCAAACATAGTGTATCAAGTGTTAGGTAAGCAATTCTCTCTCCCTGAACACAGTGAAGACTTCTGTTCAAGTACACTAATCCAGGGGGAAATCTACATTTTCTTTAGCAATTTGCTCTGTATCTTCTAGATTAGTGGAAAGACTCCATCCTTCATTTCTTTATATTTAGAATTTATGCATGTGAGCTAAATATGAATAAAAACATAGACTGCCTTAGATTTTAAAAAAATCTACCAGGCATGGTGGTGCACGCCTGTAATCCCAGCACTCAGGAGGCTGAGGTAGGAGGATCGCTGAGTGTGAGGCCAGCCTGTGCTACATGAGCAAGTTCAAGGCCAGCCTGTATAACATAGTGAAACCCTACCCCCTCACCCCCTCAAAATTTTCAAATATTATTTCAAGCCTACAACTTAAATGAAACTATGCAATGATTTAGTTTTAATAAATGAGCTGATTTGCTTCAGTTACTAGATGTAGAAAGAGACAAACTAAAGTTATGACTATTTGGGCTGTTAAGTTGTTTAATGCTAATGGCTACAAACACAAACCTTCAGTTCCTTCAGGCTGATTTTTTTTCCTGGGTCGCTGTGCAGGTCCACACTGGCATGACTCTGCACTTTTCCTTATACTCATTCTAAGCCATTCTTGTTTTTTCAAGCCTAGCCAGATCATATACAGTCTCTAATGCCAAGGGAAATTCAGCTTCTTCCAGAAGGCTTACTTCAGTATTTCACAACTACATGACCTCTGCTGAATGTTCTTTTTTTGTTTGTTTTGTTTTTGTTTATTTGTATGAGACAGGTTCTCACTATGTAGTTCAGGCTGGCCTTGAACTCATTATGTAGCCCAGTCTGGCCTTGATCTTGCAGGATCCTTCTGCCTCCCGCCTCCTGAGTGCTGGGATTACAGGCATGTGCCACCACACCCAGCATTGCTGAGTACTCTTATAATTATTCAGCATAGCTATGTAAAAATACACCCTATGACTTGCTTTATATTATTTTTTAGTCTTTTAAATATATACATTTTTTGGGGGGTGGCATTAGAGGGAGCCCTGAGCTACCTTATCAACTCTTTATTTTTTTAATTTTGAGACAGGGTCTTGCTAAGTTGTCCAACCTGGCTCCAATTTGTAAATCTCTTGTCTCAGATTCCTGAGTAGCTAAGATTACAGGAATGCACTACCATGTCCATCTCAGTATACATCATCTTTACCTATGAGGATTGTAAACTTCTTGAAGGCAAGGTCCCGTCTCCGACAGGACATACTTTTATGTAGTTTTATTCCCCTCCATAGCTACTGTAACCTAACTGAAAACTGTTTAAAAAATGTGCGCACTTTTGATGCCTAATGATGAAACTAATTGCAACTCAGTAATTGGTTTACAAAGTGTACAACAAAATCAAATAATGGTCGGGCCAGTTCATTACTTGTAGTCAAAGAAGAATTAAGCTATTATTATTAAGCATGATGAAACAACAGAGATGATGATGAATATAAGTAATTCTGGTGCAATGATTAACAAATTAAAACTGTTATGAATTTATTATCACTGTGTAATTAAAAGAAACACAATGAACCTTCCTCATGTAAAGCTTCTTTCCTCTAAGCTAGCAACCTACTTTTGAGTCCAGATTATTCCAGTATTGAGAAAAATTGGTCATATTTTGAAAGGTTTTGTGATCAGAGGTACACATGAAATAAATCACTCGAAACAGACATCTATCCGTGTAATACACAATGTTTTGAGAACATGGTAGGCTACACGTCTTTTTAGACAAAATTTTAAATCTTTCAGTGTAAGTAATACTGCCCGAGTCCCTTCCACTGGTAGAGCATTCCACAGCCTCGAGTTATGATCTAGCAGGACTATAGCCAAAGCAAGTACACAAATGGTGGAAATCAAAGTACTGAAGGTAAACTTTCTATAATTATTATTATGGAAACAAGATATCTGTATGATGTCACATAATTGGTATTATACTTTACAATATGTGTAAGTTTTCCAAGTGTTCTCAATCTCGGTGAAAAATACCCTAAAGAGACACATAGCAATTACTTTCCTTGTTTTGTACTTTCTCTTATTCAATACTTCCTGCTACAACTTTATCCTTAACTTCTTAATGTTGTAACACCTCACCTACCCATTTGTACTGATTGCCTAACAGAAGGCAGCAACAAGTGTGAACAGTAAAGAAATTACTTTATGGTAATTTGTTTTAATATGTAGTCTCCAGGGTTCCACCTGAATATTAATTATAATAGTCATTTGTTTCAGCACCCAATTTCTTTTCCACACAATTTATCATCAGTGCAGTACTCAGAGGCCTAAACATCAGAAAGCTCTGCTGGGGCCCCTCTGACCAACGGGATTACTTTTCTACCAGGGTGCTCTGGACTTGTGGCCTTTAAGATCCTCTCCACCTCTGATCTTGAATGAAAATGTTTTTCCTCTCTTTATTCTGCCCTATCACCAGCTCATCATTATTACACAGGGGCTTTAGGATTTAGAGACTTGGTTGACAAAAACCATGCTATAAATACAGGAAGCAACAAGTTACTATACAAAGAGTATGTGCTATTCAATTAAATAAACTGTACTCTAGTAACTTTAATGAGGTTTTTTCTCCTCAATTTCTGCTCTGGTTTTGCACTATGAGTGATAACTACGGTCTAGGATTGTCATGAGGATTGACTAAATTGAATTTAAGTATAAATTTAATTAATTAATTGAATTTAAGTATAAAAATATCGTAATTCCTTGTATCCACTAAATGTATTAATGATAGCAGTTATTACTGTTAACAATCACCAATATATTTCTTACAGTTGTTATTACATTGTGTAGATCCCAGTCTACATTTCTAACCTAAAGTAAAATGAATCATCGTAATAATCATTTAGTTTTCCAGCTGAAGCAAATGGGATTATCCGTGTTCCTTCAATTTTAAAAATACAGATACAGGGCAGGGGAGGTTAGTTCTGGCAGGAAAATGACTAATTATGGTTGCTGACTAGTGTTCTGAATGTTCCTCAAATGTGTAGCAAAGTTATAAATCAATCTGCTACTAAAATATTTTCTAGATTTCAGATCTTTAGACATATCCTGTCTCCTAAACAATAATCTCTCAATTATCCTGCCTAAATTTAGGAAGATCTTTATTAGCAAAGGATGCATTCCACAGTTATGCTTTATTTACAAAGAAATTTGATAGACAAAAGTGTTCCTTATCAGAAGTACTTTAAACCATTTTATTGACTGAGAAGGGTGAATCTAAGTTAGATGCCACAATAAATGGTGCATCAAAACAAAACAAAACAAAAAAGCAAACACCACCACTTCAATGTCTTAGTTCCAAGAAGAACTACCTCCTCCATGGGCTTCTGTGGGGAGACAGGCACTCACTGTTCAAACACAAGGTGAACGGTAAGCCCAAGTCTATGCCATATTAGTAGTGACTAAACAATTTCGAACACAAGCCAGGGGACCAGAGATATAGCTCAGTGGCACAGCACCTGCCTGGCAAGTGCAAAGTTGTGAGTTCAATTCCCAGCATCAAAAAAAAAAAAGAAAAGAAAAAAAAGAATCAAACACAAGCCAGAATAGTAGGATACAGTTTTGGTTTACTGTATCAATGTGATTTTTGGATCGCTGGCATACGTTTCTTTAAAATCATGGATACTTAATTGTAAATAAGCTTCACTGTGGTAAGTTATGATTTGCATCTTAATGCCATTAAGGAAAGAAGTAAGAATTTTATACCTTCTCTTACATAATGGTTCAAGACCTTTCATTTCAGGCACAGGCAGTTTTATGACAGTGTAGCAATTACCAGATGGAGATGATTATTTGTCATAGATGTCACCATTATACAAAATAGGCTGGTGTGAATCAGAATAAAGAACCATATATAAAGTTTAGAAATTTTTGCCACTTTCATTAATAAATAAGGTATATTCTGAGATGGGTGCCTACCTGCTCTTAAACGGTCTACCACAAAAGTGAAGCCTGTAGTTCTTGGATGTATGACATATTCATATTTTTGAAGTCCATTCTTTTCAGCAAAATCATTACTTCTAGCCTTGCTATTTTCTAAAACAAAAGAAATCACATTATTAGAAACCATAAAATGATAGATAAGACACGTATTTTTTTTTAAAAAAAGGCAGTTAATATTCTGTAATTACTGAATACAGCATACTGATACGATACAAACATTTTAGCCAGTCCCTTACAAAGATCACAGTCTAATTAAATTTTAAAAATTTTATAACAACATATCAAAAGATTTTTAACAAAATTTTTCTCAAATTTATATTCCATTTTTTAGTTAACCTATAATGAAAAATGAAATATAAATAAAATACTAAGAACCTAAAATTTTCATAAAAACTCTTCTGTATAAAAATTGAAATTCTAAAACATAAAATGCTAATATGATGAAAAACTAATACAATGTACAGATCTAGATAACCAGAAGAAATAATTAGCACTCAAATATATCAGATCAACATTGTTTTGTAACTCAGTAATCGAAGTCTTCAGTGCAAGCTATCTGCCTGGCCCAGGCACAGAGCAGGCTGATGTCACTAACTCAAACCACTGCACAACAGAAGGGGCACATGATTAGCACATCATGCACAAACGTCGGAACGTGGTTTGGCTGAACACAGTTGGGAGTCAAGTAGATGTTCCAGTTGCTGGCAAAAACTTCTTTTTCCATTCCATGAGGTAACTTTACAAGTTCCAAGAAGAACCAAACCCATTATTCAGCAAATACATTTGGAAAAAGTAAAGTGTTCAGAAATGTGGCCTCAACTGCTGGGAGAGATCATGAAATGCTTCTGACGACAGCAGATGTTAAAACCTGCAATCGTCAGCTGCACTCTGAAATGTATAGATTTATTGCAAGCACAAGAAAACACCTAAATAAGTGCAGGTTCCCTAGGTGTAAATTTAAGATCACTGAGTTTCCAAGCTTCCAAACACCACAGATGCATGCCACATTATGAAAACATTCAAAGAACACTCTTAAGAAGGTGTTATAAAGAGGAACTGAGTCAGATACTCTCAGATCTCCTCCAAATAAAAAAGGCCCTAATCACAGCAAATTAATAAGCTGCTTTCACATTTATTTGGGAGTCTCCTGGGCATGAGACTACAAAACAGTATTTCTATTAGAGGCAGCTGACAGAACTTTAATGAGATTAGGAATTCCAGAGGCACCGCAAAGATGAGGAGTAACTGACTGCTCCCTGGTCTGCTCTTGTTAGAAATGGTGGGGCTACTGAAGATAACACTGAATTGCTTTGTACATGTACATACAAGTATACATAGTTTCAAAATGTGCAATCATGACATGGAGAGGTAGAAACAGATGAGTGTGCAGAGTTCCCCTCTACCACTGCTTCATCTACCACCCGCAGACCTGTTGTTCATGACCGCAGCAGTATCCCCGTCTGGGCGCTCACTCCCTGTAACTGCCATCCTGCACCGCTGCTCATGGCACTTGGGCCATTCACGCCTCAAATCTATAATGTTCCTTGCCTCAGGTGGATGCAGCTGCTCTTCCCTTTATCTAGGAGGCCTCTCATCCATGCAGTCCCACAGTTCTCACTTTGTTCGTTTAGTTCTTCTTTAAACTGAAACCTAACACAGCAGCTTGCCCTACCCACCCTGCATCAGGCAGCACCCTACACCCTTCTATTTTTCTCTACCTCTTTATCCTGTTTTATTTTTTCTCACAGAACTTACAATAATTATACATATTTTAACTTATCAATTTATTATTGCTTTCCTCGTGCATATTTAAATGAAAGTGTATATAAAGCCCTGGAAACATTTATTAGATGAAGATGTTTTATGTACAAAGCTATTAAACTGTATGCAATGTACTTATTAAAACTTAGAAATAGCCAAATCCAAATCAGGGAAACAGAACTCAAAAGTATAGTATAAGGATTGTGATGCTTAATTTTATACATCAACTTGACTAGGCCACAATACTCAAGGATAAAAAAAAAAGTACTCAAGGATTTGGTCCAACATTATTCTAGATGTTTCTGTGAAGGTATTTTTTTAAGTAAGATATTTCAATCAGTAGACTGAATAAAACAGATTATCCTCCACCATACAGATGGGTCTCATCCGAATCAGTTGAAGAATTTAATAGAAAGAGATAGGGCGCTGGGCATGGGGGTGGATGCCCGTAATTCCAGCACTCTAGAAGGCTAAGGCAGGAGGATTACAATTCTGAGCCCAGCTGGGGCAATTTAGAGAGTCCCTGACTCACATACTCAGTGTGAAGGCCCTGGGTTCCAGCCCCTCCCCAGCAAGGAAGGACTTCTGTCTCTAGACCCCTCTGGATTCAAATGGCAACTTGCCCAGGGCTTTACCCTGCTGGCCCGCCCTAAAGATTTCAAACTTGCCAGGCACCCATTGTCTCAAAAGCCACTTCAAGAAAGTAAAACTTAACCTCTCTCTCCCTACATATATTTAATTGGTTCTAGTTCTCTGATGAACCCTAGTATACTAACGTAATATAAATAATCATGAGAATGATTACAATATAACATTAAGTGAAAAGACAAAAGCAAGATCTCAATTTTCCTATTATATACATGTGTATAATACGCATGTGTACATGTGTGCCCAAATGACCCAATGGAATGGATCAAATTTAGAATGGTGCTTATTTATGGCCTGTGTGATTACAGCAATGTGTAAACATCTGCTTCTAAACTTCCCAATATTAACATGTCCCATTAATAAGAAAAAAGTTACAGCCAACAATACATGAAGACAGAATGTATGTAAAGTAACACAAACTTGAAAATGTGCAAGCAAACTAGATTGAGGACTTAAAAGTAGACTCTAAAATGTTCTCTTTAGACTTACAAAGCCAAACTTAAAGTTAACTGTGGTAATTAGAAAAACTACCTAATTAATAGATACTTTTTCCAAGTTGTTAGCCTATTACATTTTTTTCCAACTCAAAAAAATTATCTGTATAACTCTGTAAAAGAAACAATAAAAAATACTTTGTAAAGCTTCAAAAGTCTGTTTACTGGCAAAGAGTATAGCTTTTGCAAGTTGGTCTTAAATGTAAACACCATTTTATAGAAATACTGTGTGACAGGGAGTACTCTAGACTCTAACCGTAAGTAAATGAATGTGAAGTTCATCACCTACAAAAGAAACCTGAGAAAAAATACAGAATGAAGATGTGTTTTAAATATATTTTATAGACTGAAGGTCCACTGTATAAACATATTTACACTAATATACCAAAGGACCAACAATACATGACCTTTTCCCATTTACTTTTATTTGATTAAAGAAGTTCCACAGTTGCTATTCTTTAATATACATTTTGGCATCATTTTAGTAAATACCTTTTTATATGCTATATTTATCAAATGAAGCTAACGTCCAAATTTCTTGTTGGTTCTAAGAGTGCAAGGAGTACCAAAAATGACCAAATAAATTGCTTCAGTTGGAAAGTGTAGCAAATCAGGAACACTGACAAATTTTAGCTTGCAAGTGGAGTACCAAACAATGAGTTCTGGAGCAAAACATCTGCATCAAAATGTGTTGAGAATCAAATTCAAGCAGTTTCAAAGCAGTCAAGTAGCAAGGTTATAAGTGACTATATTATATATTCTAAATATTATAAAATTTAAATATGGTTATTATAATTTCCTGATGATAGTTTAGCTCTGGAAGTCAACTTATGCACTGCGATCTATTTTCAAAGGCAGTCAATATTATCCTCCATATTATCCTCTTTGATCCAACTACTTTTAGAATTTTAAACATAAAAGCAAACATACACTACACATAAGCATATATTTTAGAGACTTTGCCTGGGATATAAAAATTGCCATGGTTATGTAGCTCAGTTCCATCTCCAAGAGATGAGTCAAAAACTTCTTTATTGCCATGTACTGTAAATGCTTTCCAAATTTCCTTTATCAACCTACTATGGCTCTGTCACCACTGAAGTACTTGTGAAATATGTATTTTTTTTCTTTTGAACTTTTTTGGGGTAATGAATTTCATATATTATTATGTCCACAGTATAAATTAGTATGTCCACATACCTGTTCTCTTTTCCTAAGTTCTAAGGGTTGCCCTTCTTAGCAGCAAAGATCTGGAAGACAACTCCATACTATTTGTGATCCTTAAGCTTGCATTCTGTCCTGCTTCTGTGTGTTTTCCCTTATAAAGCAGACCTTCATCCACCGAATCATTCTTAAATTCTGCTGTTTCTTTCTTGAAGTTATAGCTCCTTCCTGTCTAAACTATATCCCTTTCAAACCTATCGCTCCCAGTACTCAACCAGGCAAGTTCTACTTTTATCCATTTTACATCCTAGACTGGAATAAAATGACCTATAGTTTAAGGTCATTTAAAACGACCTGTGGAAATCCTTTTTTAATCGTTTCAATATCTGGGAAAGTAGAAAAGTTCAAACATGTCCTCCTGAGTCTCTGTGCACTGTGATCTATTCACAAGTCAATAATGGCGGATTTTTCTTGAGGAGCCACCTGTCCTACTGCTACGCACATCTTACCACACATTTCTTATTTCACCTGGCAGAGATGAACCAGGTTCCTCATAAACAAGGAGCACTGTTCTATACTACAGATATGCCAAAACCTTTCCTACCTACAGTAAGGAAAAGGTTTACATATTAGGAGAAAGATAACATATAAACTTAAAACAAGAAACTGAAGTTAGTTACTTTCAGATCTTTTTGTTCTTATAAGCTGAGGGGAACGAGGGATAAAGGATAAAAAAAATACCTTGGAAGAGGATAAGGAAATATACAGAACAGGTAAGGAAAAATTACTTAAAAGATAATTTTAAAGCTCTGCTTATATAAACATAAAAGGCTATTTTAAAAAAAATTCTGAAGCTCAAAATAGAGAGTCCCGGATAACAAGCATGAATAATAATGACTGACTGTGGCTGTCTATAATAGTATAATAAAATCAGTGGGCTGGAAACCATGAATCCTGGGTCCTGATGTGCTCCTGATTAATGGAGTGACCTTACGGGTGGTACATCAATCCTGCTGATAATCAGTTACTTCATCTGAAGAATAAATTGTTTTGACAAGCTATATTTTAAAATTCTGTGCCCCAAACTCAATCTACATTACCTGTGAGATCAGTCCCTTCTGGGAATATGAGGAGTTGAAGTGGTTCACCAATATCACAAAAATAATCAATCATGTCTTCAAAGTGGTTCTTGTCATCCTTCCACTTCCTATGAATGAAGATATAGGCAGCAGCCTGCATGGCCCAACCTAGAATGAATTGAACAAATATTTGCATACAATTTAATTAATAATATTCATATATTACTAAATATATTTTTTCAGGTTTTGTGACTTTACTATAAATTATTTACTATCAAAATAAGCATTCTAGCCCGGCATGGTGGTGCACACCTATAATCTCAGCACTCAGAGGCTGAAGCAGGAGGATGGCCCTGAGGTGCAGGCCAGCCTGGGCTACATTAGTGAGTTCAAGGCCAGCCTGCACTACATAGGAGGACCTTGTCTCAAAAAAAAAAAAAGTAAAACTAAGCATTCTATGACATATCGTATGTTCAGTATTAATCTTGGGTTTTAAATAAATAACACATGTGTCACCGAATATTTTTAAAGGGGTTTGGTAGTCTAAAAAACTACTTTCAAGCCAAAACTAGCTATTAAAATATCAAGACTAGAAACTTCTCTGATATCTATCCTACTTTGTCCAAGATTTTAACAACCCTAACTAAACGGACCTTTTAGCCAAGCTACCTATGAGAAAAGAAAAGACTGTGCTCCGAGGTTTACAAAGCAGTGAGCAGAGTCATTTCTCAGGTTATGTGAGCATTCTCTACAGTATTTCCTTTTTGGTACTACTCAGTCTCTAAATGTGATTGCTACTTTCAATGCTAGTCACTTCAGATTTTAAAGAAAAGCAAACTGTGCAGTGGCTATGCAACACGTTCATCAGAGTATTCACTGTGGGCCCGATGACTTTCTCTTGGGCAAATCTACCTTGCTGCTAATGAGGCAGCCCTAGATGAGTCCGCTATCAGATGACTGCCCGGCTTTCTCTGACCACAGTGTCTAGAAAGACTGGGAGGTGCCAGGCTCAAGGCAGCCAATCTATGGTCTTTGCAATCGCCCATGAAGCATGAAAACCCTGGGCCAAATGCAGTAACTATTGAGCCCCACCAAATGTTTGTACTTTCTCAGAAATGTTACCCATGACCATGAGGAGAGCAAACAGCACCGAAAGTAGAGGCAGTTGAACAAGATGATGACACCTACTTTAGTGAAGGTTAAAAACTGTTACTGCTGAACTGGGCCACCTAAAACTGATTTTAATCCACAAGAAGAGACAGTTTTAGTTACTACAAGTCCCACCAGTCTGTGGAGCCATGTCTCTGATTGCCACGCATAGCTTTACAATACACTTACTATTTCAGCGGGAAGAGATGAATGGCCGCTCCTTGCAAACACACAGCACTGCTCGGTCCTCCAGATATGCCATGATTTACTCCCCTATACCCCATTACCACTTAGGCTGTACCCAGTCCCAGAGTCTCTTATCTTTACTAGAAAAGTGTACTCCATTCCCATTTATTGGGGTAACTTTTCTCTTGCTGACATCTTTCATGTTTCCTATTTGTCATACTGCTTTGTGCTTTCTTGCCCACCCCTTCCCCACTTCCCTTTTTCTGACTTTGGTTGAAATTAAGTTTTTCCTGCCCCTCTGTTTCTCTCTAATAGAGAGGCAAACAAACTATGGACTGTGGACCAAATTCAGTTTACTGTCTCTTTTTACATGATTCACAAATAAAGAAGAATATGATTTTGTGATATGAGAAAATTATGTAACATTAAACCTTCAGTATTTATAAACAAGGTTTTCCTGGAACTCAGAGTGCGGCAGTTGTCCACGTATACTGTCCATGGCTCCCACCACGTTACCACAGCAGGCTACAATCAGTACCACAGAGACAGTGTGGCCCACAACCTGTGACACCGACTACCTAGGCCTTTACAAAAACAGTTTGCTGGCTGCTGGTTGGGAAATTCTACACCCTACTTTGTTCCTTTAGTGGTAAAAATGTTTCCGCCTTTACATTTTTGGCAAATATATTAAACATACAATTTTGTCAACACTGAATTACATCAATCTTTCTCAAGCAAAAATGTATGCTTTCAATTCTATCACTGAACATAAGGCCTTTAAGTTTTTAAAGATTGAAACAGTAGTAATAGCAGAAAATTATGCTCTCCTATTATGTACTTCTCTTTTTACAAAATTTGTAGACATTATCCCATCATTTCCCAGACTGCTTTATCATTCTTTAAATTTCACAGAAATGATTCTAATTATTTGGACTACATCTTAAGTTTTGCTGGCTGCTTTGCTTATCACTGTTTCTTGTGTTCACCCTACAAAGGATTTCTTTGAAAAGATATTTGCAGCTCTGCATTCTGAAATGTATTTGCTTTGTTCTCAATTTTGGAAGCTAATTTGGCTACACAGAGAACTGAGGTTCCAAATCATTTCTGATAAAAATCTATCATGTAATATAGCTGGTAAGAAGTCTAACATCAATCTGATTTATGTAGATAACCTCTTTTTCTCTTTGGGAAGCTCTGAGTTGTTTCTAATCTTTGGTTTTATAAAATTTTACCAGTATAAGCCGAGGTATGGAAGTGTTTTTCATTAATTCTGCTTAGCAGTTGCCAAACTTACAATATTTGAGTCCTTTAATATTATGAACATTCCTTCCGTTATTAAAGAAAATCGGTTTTCTTCCTCTCATTCTCTCATGTTTTCTGTCTAGAGCTTCTATGAGATATGAAAAGTTGTAGATATCTTCTCTCATGTTTTGTCTTCTAATACTTTTTTCATTTGACATAGTTTTTAAGGAGAATCCCTTTTCTTGACCATCCAACTCATGAATCTGACCTTTAGCTGTACCTGTCCTAACAACTGTGTTTATTTCAACAATTACGTATTTTTATTTTTACAATCTGCAATTTATTCTCTTTCATATCAATCAGCCAATTTTTATGAGTGGAGAGTATAATTATAATAAAAATACTTACTAAACACTTACTATATGCCTAATACTATTCTAAGCATTTTTCATTAATCTGGTTAATGTCCAAGACAACTTTATAAATTAGGTAAAAATTATTATTTCTATCTTCTCAGTGAAGAAACTGAGGCATATTGAGATCCAAATAACTAGTAAGTGCTACATCCAGGTTTCAAACACAGTCTGACCCTAAAGCTCAAGTTTTAATTCACTGAAATATTAAACAATTTCTCTACAACTGAATCCCTCTGAGATATTAATGACATGTAGTTTAAGTTCTCTACAGAGAATTTTTACTCAGATATTAGACACCCTCCAGTTAGTACTAGCTGTTCTTTTCTGTTGGTACAGTCTTCATATCAGAAAAGGATATTCTAGACAGAACAATCGTCACAAGTAGAATGCATTTCTCATCCCACGTGAGAATAACTTCCCTTTGAGGACAGGGAGTGGTAGCAATATTCATGGGAGTTTTGTTGTAACACTTTTCTAATAATCTCTATTTTCCAAAAATTTTAGACTGGGAGATAAGACATCTGAATCATCCTGCCTCTTGGACCTTCTCACTGAAGATGTAATGATGCACTCTCCTAAGTCTTTGGCTTATGCTCCATGTACATATCACCAATGCTTTAAAATCTTTTATACTTCCCTTAGCTCAAATGTTTTTCTGGTTTTCTTCATGAAAACCACCTCCTGTTTCACTGCCATCAATGCATATTTTATGAATGTTAAAAGCAAGATTTTAAACTTGAGAACATCAAAACATATTTTTATTACATTTATTTCATACTTTCATGAGCTAATTAATGACAATGTAACTTACATAAAATTTAAATTAACTTGTCTTTTTCACACTTTTCCATTGTAGGACTTGCTGTCTTTAGCCTGCATTTCTCAGGCAAGGACTAAGTGTCTGGCAGGTTTATAAAGACAGAATCTGTGGATACTGGCATAGCTTCACAGTATTATCTTGTTTCTAAAACCTCATTTAAATTCTCAGCAGAAACTTCTCAAAATAGATGCGAGCCAGGTGTGGTGGCCCACACCTGTAATCCCAGCACCCAGGAAGCTGAGGCAGAATGGCTGCAAATTCAAGGCCAGCCTGGGTTACAGAGTGAGTTCAAAGCCAGCCTGAACTGCATAATGAGATCCTGTCTTAAAAAGGCAAAAAAAGAAGTTTGGGCTGAGGCTATAGCTCAGTGACACAAGTGCCTACCTGGGAAGTGCAAGGTCCTGAGTTTGATTCCCAATACCCCCTCCCCCAAAAAAAGAGAAAGAAAGAAACATCAAAGTAGATGGGAATAAGCCCTGAGTATTTTCCATGATCCAAAATCTAGTCTATAATTTCAAACCTAGTTTCTCTGATGTGTATTCCTTTTTATCAGCTGTTACAGTTGACAGAAAAAACTATCTGAATGTATGCATTTGTGCCATTATGTACTTTCTCAATAAAAAAAGAAAGCTTATTCATCACTTTTTCTGTTTTTAATTTTAGTGTAGAAGGGACATAGTTAAAGGAATCATAACTTGTACTACTTCCCTAGTGCTCTAAAAACTGCACCTCAGTGATATGTTAAAGTTTATTAAAGTTAAAGGAATCATAACTTGTACTACTTCCCTAGTGCTCTAAAAACTGCACCTCAGTGATATGTTAAAGTTTATTGCTGCTTTCCACATATTAATATGGTACCTACTATGACACTATGAATATGATGCTGGCAACAAAAAGTAATGTGGAATAGACATTCCCTTCACCATGATTCTTAATGCTGAGTAGAGGATGCAGATGCAACCAATGCAACCAGGCCTCACGTTACTATCAGAAGCCTCTATTAAGTGAAAATGAATAGCAATATAAACAAATGCAAATTTTATGTGAAAACATTCTATCACAAACACCATTAGAAAATACTATTTTTATTGAATGTATACCTGTGTATAAAAACAGCAGTTACACACATAACTCTAGAAACTAACAAGCAGTTATAATTCTAAGATTTTCACCTTCTATCAGGGTGCTAAGTGCTATACAGATAAAGTCAGGAAGCTCTAGTTTTCCTGAAATCACCTTACAAATTAGGTAATGCTCTTTACACCATTCTAAGATGATTAATTTCCATGAAGTCTTTGGGTTTTGAAAATACTGAGTGAAGACTATTGTATGATCTTATTCTTACAATAACTCTA